CTGCCTACGCAGCTCATCATAGCTTTTGCAGAGCTGAATCACCTCGGCGACTGTCTGGGGACTCTTCGCAGCCAGCATTTGGAATGCACCATCGTCGATTCCTTTCATGATGTCCTTGATCTTGCCTGCCTCGCCCAGAGTCGAATCGACGAGCTTGCAGAGAAATAGCACATCTTCGATGTAGCTCGTGAAAGTTTCATCTGCTCTCTGTACTCTGCCCCGCAAGCGCTGTTCAGCACGAAGGCGGCGGACAGCAGGACGGCCAAAGACTTCCGCGAGGGTTTTCGCCAATTCCGACCAGGTACTGAAATCACTTTGATAATTTCTGTACCATAGTTTTGCCACGTCGGTCAGGTAAAAACTCACATTTGTGAACTTATCGGCTGCGTTTCACTTATTGACGGCGCTCACCAGTTCATACTCGGCAATCCAGTTGTCCACATCTTGGTCCTCTGTGCCACCAAATATGGGGGGGTCGCGCTGCCGGAGAGCGCCAGCGCAGAAGACAGGCACAGGTGCAAGATCTGGAGTAGCAGCATGAGATGGCCCCGGATCAGTCATTGTAGGAGGTCGTTGGAGTGTGCGGCTGCGAAGTTCCAGGGTGAGGACCAGATGCACCCAGCACCTCCACCACTTGAAACGGGTTGTTGAACAAGCAGGCGAACTCGGCGAAGGAGAGCTTTATTTAGCGCAAGGGCTAACTGAACGCAAGCCTGCGATCACAGCAAGTCTTCTTCTTTTTCTATCCTCGAGCTCCATGCCCACTACCCTCGTTACAGTATGTAAGTATGTATGTATGTATGTATGTATGTATGTATGTATGTATGTATGTATGTATGTATGTATGTATGTATGTATGTATGTATGTATGTATGTATGTATGTATGTATGTATGTATGTATGTATGTTTTCATGCGCCCGTGTGTATGAGTAGCCCAATTTTATCATTTGCATCATAATTGCAACTCAACATTTAGGACTACGAATAATGTGCTTCGTTTATTTGTATTCTGGTTTTGCGAGGCTGTGCGGAACAGTTCGCAACGCGCACAAGCTCTTGATCCATTTCCATTTTTTTGTCAGAATGAACTTCTTAGGAGCTTGTTGCTTGTGCTCGCGGCTTGTCCTATTTGGACGGCGTGAGCACCAGTGTTGCCTGAACATTTCTGCGGTCCTGCTCAAGGTCGTCTATCTGGTGATTCCAACAAAGCTCTGTTGATGGCGTGCCACCTTCAAATTGTCATTTTTCGATGGCCCGTGTCCTCGCCTACTCGAAGTGGATTTGAGAGAAAGAGAAGCAAAAAAAATGTGTGTCGCGGTAACTATCTCCTTGTGAGGAGGTCACCTCAACAATGTCACAGGGAGAATGGGTAGAGGGGGAAAGAAGAGATTGTGAAAAGGAGAAGAAAGAGTTTATTTATTTCTTCTGTTACGACGCAAAAAAAGCAAAAGGCATTTAGCTTCTGAATTCTTTGTCAGTAGTGTCAGTGGTGTTTGGTCTGGTCGCATGCGAATGCGTGCCGCCTTCGAAGCATCGGTTTTCCGTTATTTTAAGAATGTTCACTAGATGGATCATTATCACTCATGGTGGCACACATCACTCTAGTCACGTCCGCTTCCTTTCTCTTTGCCGGGAACTCGTGCAGTGAGCTCACTTGGTCATAGCTCGGCCGCATGTATTATCAGCATCGAATGGAAGCCGAACAGTGGCAAGCCTTCGCGATAGCGTAGTGCAGTTATCACCATTGACAGGTACACGCAATCTGTTTCGTAGCTCTGTACAAATATGCATGCCTGTCCATGGTGATAAGTGGGCGGTGTGCTATACCATCACGATGGCTTGCTGCAGTTCGTGTTTAATTGGACGCTCATAGTACAAGCCAAGGCAGCAACTCGGCGGACTCACAACTAAGCTGCTGCTCGTGTGAGCCGCCAAAACACTGCGGTGGTATCCTTGGTGGCCGAAGCGATGAAGGCTCCGGGTCGTGTATATAAAATGTATGTAGCTTATCAAACTGTATATTGGGCATTCAATTGTGTATCAATAAACATTGTATATGTAATTGATATTTAACGATGTTGTCAATCTATATATATATAATGATAACGGTTGCGTACGGAGGATTCCCGGATTACCCGATCGTATCCGAGCAATCTTCTCTTGCATCACTCGCTTGGCAGATGTGGTGGTGATTTTCTTTATTTCAAAGCCGGAATTTAGCGCTCTATGCATGGTTCACTAGATGATTGCAAGTATCCTAATAGTTAAATCTCTGCTATCAAGAAGGTGAGCTTCGATTAGCCTATGCGGCACATTTATTTGTTATGTGGCACTATTGGTATGAAAAATTCGCTGCATATAATACAGCACTGTATAGCCTGATGTTTCGGTGCGGACCTAAACTAGGCCTGTTTTATGAAGGCCGAGCCCAGCCGGGGCCTGCTGGAGGTTATTAGTTATGGATGATCAACACGAAAGATTCCTTGCGTTTTGTAGCGGGGGATCCGATGGAAAAGCCGCTGTCTACATGTATAGAAATGCTTACTTTGGCCGTGAACGTAGCTAAGTGGTTGAGCTGGTTCCTTTTTAGGTCGTAGGCCACGACTACGATTTCTGCGACCATGGCGGCCACATTTTGATGGGGGTGAAACATGGAAGAAACAAAAAAAGGAGAGTGAAGACGTCACGCAGACAGCCTTGGCAAGTCAAACCGTTTTGAAGCCAGCAGTGTCGGCCCAACAAGTGAACTTTTTCGCAAGATCACGCCAGCAAGGTGACTGGCCGATACTTCGGAGTATAGCGCCCGGTAGCTTTTAATACAAACGAGCTTGTTCGGCACAGACCGGTATCCGGCTCACGCAGGAGGCTCAAAAATGGAATATCATCGAGAGTACTGAAACGTACTGCACGCTCTGACACTTATATCACGTGTTGTGCTGACATGGTGGGCTTCGCTCGTGTAAAGTAATGACCCCGCATTTATTTTAATCTTCCTTAATGAGACTAAAAGCTGGATCACATTTCACTTAGATTTAGAAGCTTGTTAAAGAACTTCAGGTGGTCGCAATGTAAGTCAGCCACCACTACAGCATGCCTCATAATCATATCGTAATTTTGGAACGTAACATCAAAGAATGTGAATGTACTGTTGCCTATACATGGCAACATTTCAACAGCTTGGCAAGTAATTACAATAAGAGAAGAGGGAAACTGAAAAATAGAGGAAGAAATTCAGTTAGAAGATGTGTACACTAATGTGAAACAGGGTTTGAAACCAACTCACAAAATTTTTGTTAATGCTCATTTCTACCCTCGCATTGAAAGCAATAATTGCGCGGTTTTTCAAAGAGGCTCCTGATTAATAAATTCTTGCAGCAAGATGGGAAACAACGTTACGTATGGTGTACAGCCACAAAATGCAGGTGAATTATCAATCATTCATAGTCTAACGTAGTCACAAAACGTAATTGTCGTGTACAATAAAATTATATAATCAAGTCGCTACAGATCGTACTTGATGCTATTCCAGATAAGATGCTCAACCCTTCTTCATCAAGTAAACGTGAAAGATACGCTTCATGTACCATTCAGTTAAACTAGAAGACCGCACCCGCAGATTATGCTACAAGAATAGGAGTGTGCAAAGGCCAGCACAAGGAAAACATCTGCGTGTTCTTAAACAAAAATATTAAGTTGTCTAAGTTATGCGGATTCAAGCAGGTTCTCCTGTCTTGTTGTGCGTATCCAACTGCACTAAATTAGCGTTCGCTTCTAGCGCTCGTGCAAGAGATGCAAAGTACTTTTTCGCAACAAATAAAATCCCACCGTATTTTCTACACTAGGCATCGCACCTTTAAACCAGTTTCTCAAAGTCCTCACAGGAGTCACTGTCTCTCACTGCCGGTGCGGTCTCCACGTCCGCAGCATCGTGTGACTCCCTAGATTCGACAACGTACGTACTCTTTGCTGGGGTGCTGGGGCTCGGCTGGTCTGTGCTCGTTTTTTCTTGTGGCAAACGCAGATGTCTATTAATAAACAATACCAATATTCTGTCGTAAACAGTCTCTCCTCCCCATCAAGAAAGCGGAGATGGCAGAAAGGTGGTCACAAGCACGTTGCCATTATGTGAAGTTGTCTTATGGGTCATTCTATGTGAAGAAACGACAAAAGTGTGCACACGTATGTTGATTATGCCGAAGCAGCAGTAAGGTGCTTTTCCGGTTTTGTGTACTACATGAGTACAAGTGACACTATTACTACTGTGTCCTTCTCAAGCTTCTCTACATTGAATTGGTCGCATCTGGCTGGCATTGATAAAATAGTGGAGGCGCTGCGTGAAATATAGACACCATTTTGCAGTGCTGTCGAGAAGCTTTAGCTTGTGCAGAACCCAGGGCCGCTGCCAGGTCGCACCACCGTATCAACCACAAAGTGCTTTTTCATGCATAGCGTCGTTTGTTGAGCGCATCATAACAAAATCCCGATTTTTCATTCACAGCGTAACATTACAGCGCACGATGCGAAACACTAGGACATATAGAAATCAATATCCATGTATTTTAAGCTAAGGAAACACACCACCTAATAATTACGTGTTGATAATGCGCCCAAGATATGCGTAATACTTGCTCTCTAATCGACAAGGTTCACAAGTATTAACGCAGCCACCAGGTCAAGATGTGTGGGCCTTCCGCAAGTGCTTAAACTTCGACTGGTCGAATGAATTGGATGACTGAGACAGGCAGACAGACAGACAGACAGACAGACAGACAGACAGACAGACAGACAGACAGACGGACGGGCAGACGGACGGGCAGACGGATGGACGGACAGATGGACGGGCGGGCAGACAGACAGACAGACAGACAGACAGACACGCAGGCAGGCAGGCAGGCACGCAGGCCGGCAGGCAGGCCGGCTAATCAGAATTTCTGCTGTTCAAATATCCTAATAAAGACATTCGTTCAAAACATTTCGCTTCTTCTTTGACTCTCAACAGGCACGGAAGCAGCCTTTCGCCTCTCGACATGTCTACATTATGGAGCAGTTTCTTCAGCACTGTGATCACTTACTTGGGAGGAATATTGGCCAGCCTTCTAATTGGTATCTATAATCTTCATGTTACTTGTCTAGTATTGTGTGAATTGATAAGCATGTTGTCGCATGACTAACATATAAGACTGAAGACTATCATGATGACACTGGAGAAAGTTGTATATGCAGAAATTGTCAAATATAGTATGGTGGTTTACCGGAGTTCTTCAAGAGAAAGTTATAATGTAGTTTTATTTGCCAGTACTTTCCATTGGACCGAAACCTGGAGCCTAAGAAAAAAGGCTTAAAAGTCATTGAAAAACCCAGTCTTCTTCGGGTGAGCAGTTGTCATAGTGCGCGGCTGGTAATCATAAACACTCGTATTCATTCTTAGCCACGATGATCGCTTTTCCGTTGAGTTGGCATGCTAGAAGCCCCCGTACCGTGCGATGTCAGTACAGGTTAAAGAACCCCAGATGGTAAAAATTTCCGCAGTCTTCCACATAACCATATCGGGGTTTCAGAACGTTAGACCCGCGTATTATTATTATGAAAATACCACAGGGAGCCATGGAGAGTAAAAGACTGAGTGTAATTTTAAGGGACAAATGAACGGAGTCGATCAAGGTACAAAGGGGTGTTAAGGGCAATTAACACAAAATTGATAAAAAACGAGCATGAGCTGTACACGTCGCTCATAGCGAAGATGACTTATCATCAAAAATAACAAACTAGATTTCTAGAGCAGGCAAGCGCGTGAGAAGGCAGCAAAACTAGAGCTGAACCGTATTTATTGGAGAAATAAATACTGGAGGTGCTTTTGCCAAGCAGTGTGTGTAGTCAGGCTGATTGTAATAACGATGGTAATATAAGTGTGGTAAAAATATTTCGCTTAATATTATACTATTTTAATTACCCTCCGCCAATATGCTATTGCATTGAAGCAGCCTTGCAAGCGATATCGCGCACGTTATTTTTTTCCTTTTAAGCAACCATCTCGTTGGCAATACTACATACTACTACTACTTCTACTAGAACTATTACTACTACTACTGCTACTACTACTAATACTATTAATTATTTTATATTTGACTGAATACAAAATCGGAGGCGTGTGCAAGTAAAATAACCAGGACTCTGACAAACTCTACAGTGTACAAAGGAAATGTAGCATTAAAACAAGCTACATTTTGTTAAATGGGCAAATAATGTTGTGTATATCATACCTCTGACGTGTGGTGATGTGCATATAGGGAAGACTGGCAGATGTATTAAATAGGGGCTGAGGGAACATTATTCGAGTCTGAAAACTCACCCTAATACACATTTAGAACTGTATGGCAATGATTGCGCATGTTCACTTTCATTCATTATTATTACCCTAAAATGTAGGTGTCGCCAATGATTGCGTACGAGTGGCATCAGGGAGGAAGAACGTAGAAGAAAATGAAGAGGAAGTTAGGCAGTAGCGGTAGAAATATACATGGACGTTCTTGGTGTCGGGCTCGGGTCTTCAATACGCGGCATCTTCCTGGTCCTGAAACCCCCCGGTCACGCCCTTCCAAGACTTCTACTTACGATGGTGTCATCAGAGCCAGCGTCGCATGAACTATCAGGCTCCACACCGATGAGCTACAGGCCTCTGTTGCAATTGCCAGTCAGGTCGACTCCCACGTTGCCTATACAACATTCAGATGAACGCCGAATTCGTCATCTTAAACAAAAAAATCTTCGATGTGACTACTGACGACGACCACGACAACAACTGGAGTTCGCGAAAGAGTGCAACCGAAGGGTTTCTTAAGCAGTGTCCCGAGCACGTTTCTTTCTCCGAGAGGCCACATTTAAGGCGACAGTAAGCTGTGCTGCGAGGTCGGTGGCTACATCCCCAAACGCCAACGCTGGTGGTCCCAGCAACGCGGGCCCGGGCCAGGTTAGTGACTCTTCTCGAGTAGCAAATGCAATTCTCCGTCAAGGAACAATGCCGCGTCATCGCATGGTGGTCTTGACTAAACTACAGGTTCCGACGTTTTCCGGCGCACTTAGCGATTGGCAGTCCTTCTGGGACAATTTAAGAGCCACATATCATCTGAATGAAGACATTTCACCGGTCGATAAGTTCAAATACCTTCAGTTCTATTTGAGGGGTGCAGCAAAGAGAGCAATTGAGGGCATGCGACTAACCGAAAAGAACTGCAACATCGCGATAAAGACCTTGAAGGAGCGATTTGGTCGACGCGACTAGCTTGTCAGCGAGCACGTTGACCACCTGCTCGCCTTAGCGCCAGTCATGGCGTCAGCACACGTGGAGAAGCTTTGCCTGCTCTTGGTTTTTCAGTGCCAGGTGTTACCTGAATGAATACTTTTTACAGAACGAGAAGTTCTAGTACTTTCAGTCCTATTCGAGTAATGGAGCAAAGAGAGCAATCAAGGGCATCCGACTAAACAAGTTCAATTGAAACATCGCGATCAAGACCTTGACCGAGCGATTCGGTCGACGCAACTTGCTTGTCAACAAGCGCGTTGACAATCTGCTTGAATTAGCGCCAGTCAAGTCGTCGGCAGATGTGGGGACTCTTCACCTGCTCTACGATAAGGTCAGTTTTCACGTCTGTGCGTTGGTCTGTTTGGCGTCCCACTTGGCTAGTACAACGTGGTCCTCAACTGCGTCTTGAAGAACTGTCTGCTGCACAATCTTGTGATTATAACCCTCCAGAAGGTGCTGGAAGCGCCGCTGAAAACGTTCGGCATCGCGACACCTGAACAGAAAGCTCACCAGGCTGCTTCACTGCTTAATTTTCTGCGCATTCAGATTGAGGTTCGAGAGCAAAGCAGGGAAGAAAAAAAGGCGTATGGTTTCTGGCGGTCGTGTCCTGAAGAAGTCGAGCCTCCATCAGCACCAATGGGACATTTGCCTACGGCGTCCGCACTTGCTGCCGAATCTGTTACAGTTACGGAAGAGCTGTGCGCTTTATGTAGTAGTTGTCAGCACACCATTGCGGATTGCAACGTTCAACTCTCGGCTGACGAAAACGGGCTTGGTTGCGCACTGCTCGCTGCTGATACTGTTGCAACTTGCAAAACCACATGGCGCGTTTTTGCCGACGTGCACGCAGCCTGACCTGTAGTACCTGCAACCGACGACACCTCAATATTCTCTACCAATTGTCCACACCGGCAGGTCCAACACGCACAAACGTGACGACAATGAACCAGGACGACCCGCGCAAAGGCGGTCGAGACACTAACACGCCTTCAGTGAGGTCGGCTCCGAGCACCCTGAGCGGAATCAACTCCGTTCTTCTTCAAACAGGACGTGTTGTGATTGAGTGTGGGTCCCGAAAGTGTCTCGTGCGTATTCTCCTTGACAGCGGCAACCAGCGCACATTCATGTGATCGGATGTCTGAAAGGACCTCAGATGCCTCAGTTAACTGAAAAGTGGTGTATACCCCAGCCTCTGTAACACATAACACTGGAAAGGAGCTCTCAGTCACAAATTTTCTGAAGTCTGCACACTTAGGGCGAATACTATTCGCATTCCATTGGAAGATTGCTACATTTTCATAACAATTTTTCATGTCTTGCCTGCACAGTGACTGTTGTGGCTAATTAACACTACCTGTTCCATCGACAAGATAGCTTTGACCTCAAGAAGGTTGTTAGCCTGTGGTATCGCAGATAGTGTGACTTTTAAAGCCGAGAATAAGATTGGTATGACAAGCTGAGCTATCGACACAAAGCAGTGTTCCGGTTGCATTATACTTACTGGGCGCGATGTGCTCGTGCTTTTTCGGATGTTAGCCACGTGGTTACTTTTTTTTTTGAGATTCCTCCTGAGACTCTTGTCGAGCTTGCTGCTGGCTTGTTGATGTCCCTGCACTCACCTCTTACTTTCGTTGTCCCCTTGCAGCTTGCTCGTACGTCAATACAAGGTCCTGGCGTATAGGTGCTTGCAGTCGAGGAGGCCGTGCTGGATTCATTATGTTCATGTTGGGCTCAGGCACGTCCTGCTGTTGAGTGTGACCATTCATGATGTCATGTTGACTTTGAAGAGAAGCTGCCTTGTTCTGCGGGAATCCAGAGAACGAAGCAGCATGGGGCCCCTTGCAATTGGCACACTTAGTTTGTGTTATCTATTTGCAGCCCTTGTGATGATGGTCTTTGGCGCATATTTTGCAGCGCCTTGTTCCTCGTTAGTTTTCGCCAAATGTCTGAACCTCTGACAATTAGAGCAGCGTCTCGTTAGGCCGAGATATTTCTCAACTGGATGGCTGGTAAATCCAAGCAATACTTTCTCTGGAAAAGGTCTGTCATATATGATTTGTAAAATCACACTCCTCAGTGGGTGCGGTGCTAAAGTGCCATCTTCTAACCATAAGTAATGTATCTGGCGTCTACCCGATGTCACTCCTGCCTCTCTTAAGTATTCTGGAAGTTGTTCTTCTGTGTACTCTAGAGGCTCATGTCTAATTTTGCCTACATTTCGCATGTAAGACTCTGGAATGAAAGGAACAACAAGCTTCTGGCTGAAGCAGGAGAGCTCACGGTGACTGAGAAACTTTCATCATCATTCTTCTGGAAAGAATCCACTTTCTTTTTAGCTAGTGCAACAATTTCCGAGGATACAAAGTTTCGGTTTACTTTCCAGAAGACTCTCGTTTCCTCCATTGGTTGGAATACCACAGGAATTTTCTCAAATCTTCTCTATTTGTATGTCACTTGAGTGAAAAATTCTGCTTCCTCATCAGATGTTATCTTCATCAATGAAGGAGTAGGTCGTGGTCCCCTCCTGAATGTTCTCCGCCTGGTCTTGCTCTCTCACTTTTTTCGCAGAGCTTACTTCGTTCAACATGTCATCAGCTTTCCTCATCGCCTCCAGAAGCGCATGCCCTGATTAAAGAAACCCTGGTAGAACCAGGTTGTCTCTCATGCTCGTTTGTTCCGAAGCTACGCTGTGGTAAAGGTGGCCCTTGCCACGCTTGCACATCCTGGCTAGTTCTGTCAGCCTCGGTGATGCTGAAACGTCGGCGCTCAGTACCGTCACACCACTTCCTGCTATCAGGAGTCA